TATGATTAGTTTTTATCTTTCATTTCATTTTCTTATAAATCTAAATGTATAAATTAATTATATTGAAAAATTTTACAACAATTGCAAAGCTGCTTTCTCTGTTGAACATAGCTATTTATCAATTAGATTATATAATCGTTTTCTTGCTAAATCATATTTTAAAAAGACCAAAAGTTAATTTAAAAAAAAATTAATTTTTTGTAGTCAAAATGTTCATATTTGATAAAAAAAAATTTTTTAAATTAGTTTTTGGTTTTTTAAAACTATAACTTGACTAAAAAGCTATATGACTATATTCTAATTGATAAATGAATGTTATAAGCATATTGATCGACATACAATGTCAGAATTCCGAATTCAAACCCTAATAAAGGTAATATTTTTCGTATTTTAAAATGCTTATTAGCATCATTATTAAATTAGCGATCAATATTATTTGTGATGTTATTTCCAACTTCAGTTTATTGCATTTTAAGTCATATAAATCGAATCAGTATACAGTTATAAAACTGAAAAAATATATTTGCAAATTTGTAAATAAATATTATTAAAATATTACAAATTATAAGGCTATGAGAGTACAGCGCGATAATTATTATGTATAAATTTCAACTTGTTATGTATTTATATAAGTTACAATATATTTTAAATATTTTTACAAGCTTAACCCGCAAGTTTCGGCTGCATTTAAAACGTTCAGTTTAAGCTTGTAAAAAACACCTAAAATATAACTTATACATTAATACCTAACAAGTCGAAATTTGTGCGCAATAATTATCGCGCTGTACTTTCAAGTATATACAAAAGCCGTTAAGATTAAATATTTATGCAATCAAGTATTCTCATTCTTCCCAATGTGATAAAACCGTTCTCCATGAACATAAGGAAGTGAGTGTATGTAAATCAAATAGCATTAGTACCGCAGAAAAGATTAAGGGTCGAAACATTCGCATTGTCAGAAAACGTACGAGCTTGTGGTAAAAATCCCCTTCCGCCAGCGAGATTTCGCCCTCTCATTTTTCTTATTTTCTTTCGCGAGGTACGCAGCCATAAATTTCGATTGGAGAACTCGCGGTGTACCTCGTGATGCTCGTTTTAAAGAGCGTGCTTGCACCCTCGTAAATCCTAATCAGAACTCGCAATTTATAGGGTGGGTTACGTGCGCCGCTCGTCTCGAAATTCGCTGTCCAAATGCACGCAAATCCGATCATCCCTCCGACGAGTAATCGCGCGCGCGCATGATTTGCTCTTTGATTTGGCATCGCTCCCGCGTTTGCCTGCTATGTGCTTTTTCTATCGCCAATGACAATAACTTGAAACGAATGATACTTTTATGGGCTACAAATTATATTCCGAATCACGATTCCTCGAACGAAAATCCCGCAAAGTGGAACTAACGACGCGCCAACATTATCCAATTTTTGAAAATTATGGGCGGCACGTGCGTGTATATGTTACTCTAGCAAAATTACAGAGAAAAGTATTCCATTTGACAAGACTCCAAATAAATCAAATTGAAACAGTGGCTTCCCGGAATTCACGCTTTGTCTAAAAACGTTATATATGTCGGGTCTTTTTAAAGGCCAATCGACCTTTAAAATCCTTTAAAATCCTTGATCCTGTGTCTTGTCCTGATATTTTACAACACAACGGCTAAGCTCGTGCAGGAAAAATCGTTGAATTTCAGTAAATAGAGTGCCGCCGATGCGCCAGTGAGAAAACCCTCGCCACAGAGAAAACGATCTTTTCATTGAGCCCGAGTGAACCAAAATACAGATTATGCGTCAACGTAACTGGAAGTTGCAAAAGACGATTTGTAACGAAGGAAATAAAATCGTCATTTAAGGCGCGTCCAGCATTAAGGTGAATTTAATTTGATCGATCGATTAAGGCGATCCTAAAGTCGTGTATATTATCCACTAAACGCAATAATTTTTGTATAACAATTATTTTTTTATTTTTTTATAGATTTGAAAATCTTTTTCCAGAATTAAAGTATACGTGTTTGTGAGGAATTTATACCGAGAACGAAAAAAATTTTGAAATTGAGATTTTTACCATTTCTTAATCCAATATGACGTTTAGAGTTCAATGTTATCAACAACGTGATAACATTTGCTTGATATAAAAGCTTTGCTTGATATAAAATCTGTGCTTACAAAATTGTAGTCTGCAGACTAGTAGTTTATATGAACACCGTCGAGTTCTCAGAATTAGATTTTTAGATACTTTATCGCTAAATTTATTGCGAATGTGTGCATGCGATGTAATAGTAATGTTTCAATGACACGTAAATCATATGTATGTAAATTTGTTTGAGTCAATAAAACGAGTTTAGGATTTCCTTAAGAGGAAAAAATTGTCGGTCGTAGACGCGTTCACTCGAATGTTGACTGTGGCAAAGATTGATGAATCTCAAAATGCAATTCAAGATGGAGATTCTTGTAAGGGCGACGAAGTAAAATTTTTCAATGTATGAAGTTTCTGGTATATAGGTTGATGGAGGAGAAGGAAGGGGTAAATATATATTTCCTTATACATACCTTTCTTACATGGCAAAAGTAGCTGCTCTGATTTTATTTTTTTAAATAAAATTATTGTACACTGAACGCGATGAACGATAAGCGATATCCAATGAGAGTTCTGCTTTACATTATCACGTGCGAAAATGCAGAGCTTTCATTAAATATCACTAGTTGTTTATCGCATTCAGCGTGCAATAGACATATTGGATAGCGCTTCAGGACAGAAGCGTGTCACAAGAGTTCCGATCAAATACCTACATAGGTATGGAATTCAATGTATGGAATTCCATACACTGAATATTTATAAGTACGGAATGCTCTATATCATCCATACTGTTTCGCCACCCATGGATTTTTAGTTTCTTCCAAAGTATCCTTGATTAAAAGAAAATCCGATGATCCTGGAACACTGTGTATATTCTTTCATTGTGATAATATTTTTTTTTTTTAGGAAAATCTAATGTTTATTCGTTTCTTTACCCTGCATATCAAAAACATCAAACGATCCAATGAAAATTAAAACATGGAGAATAAATATTTGAAATATTCGCTTTGTCGGTTAATTTTGGCTGATATTAAATTTACCGGCATGCATATTGTTGCTTTTGCGGCTAACTATTCATGACCGCCGAACTTTCTTCGATAGTCGATATTTTAATGCGCTTTGTTAAAACTACTGCTAGGAGTGATATTATTGAAAAAATAAAAACGAAAAGTAGGAATAGGATATTCATCAGTTTGTCTTCGAATATTTACCCATTTATCACGTTCACGCGCGGGATTGCTATTTGTCACAAAAGTTTACGCCGAGATTAAGAACAATTAATTATTATAAACAGTATTTTCATGGAGGAAATTCTGAAAAAATTATTTATAAATTAAACTGAAATATCTAAAACCTGAGAAGCTAAAGGCATGCGATTTTAAGAATATTCCAGATAGCACAAAGAGTCCGAAAAGAATTTTTATTGACTTCCTATTTATGAAATGAATTTCTGTTTTGTCACACTTAATTTTTATGTAAATTAAATATTACTTTGATTAAAGACATACATACAAATATGCATATATATATATATATATATATATTCATTTATGTTCATTTTAAACAGATTATGCTAATTTATAAAGAACAGAAGATGAATACTTTTCGAGTTCAAATGAATCAGTGCTATCTGAGATTTTAAAATTATGACACTTTTTTGGAATTCTCACTTTCCTCTATTCTCAATTAGAAATTCTCAGAAAGTTATTTACAATTTACATCGAAGTATCCAAAAACCTAAAACGTTTTTAATGTTAGAATTACAATAGTGCTATATAACTTGTTCTTTTTTGAAACGATTATTTTTCTTTAAATCATTAGAAAATTTTTTAACGAAAATATCGAATAAATGCAAAATATTAGCCTTATAATACACGTTGGAATTAAAAATATTTTGCTTGGAAAAAAAGTATTATTCCTTAAGAGAAACATTTATACACATTTTACATACGCGATAAGGAATCGCCAAGTTTTCGAGAGGTGAGAAGAAAGAGAACGTTTTTAAAGATGCGCAACCGGCAGGCAGACAGCGGAGGACAACAACATTTTTCTCCTTTCTGTTCATATATCTCATATATCTGCCTTCTCTTCTCGCATCAAAATGAGATAAAAGAGAGAAGACGAGTCGAAAAGCAGCACAAGCAGTGTATGCTCGTGGTAAATTCCTCTTCTCTGACCGATCCTTGTGGAGAGAGTGATTAAAAGCAAGCTCACGCTTTTGCAAATCTCGTAAAAATTTATAAAGCACTGTAAGCAAAACTTACTTTATTAAACTGTTTGTTGTCGTGAACATTATGGAAATTTAAATTAATATTTTGCAACGAGTATGCTTTTTTCTAGACATGTTGAACTTTGCCAGCACAAATACCTTTTTCCATCTTGTACAAACTTTTTTAACTTTTATTATTATCATATGCGGTAATCGAATCAAATTGATAAGATGCCCACACAGAATAAAAGAGATCCAGGTTTGAATTCTGGTTGAGATGATATTTTTCACAATAATTTCTCTACTAGTATTTCAAAGATATAACATCAGTAATATTAAAATGCTTGTAATATAAAATGCTTGTATAATATTAAAATGTTTGTCAACTTAATTTATGATATTGTATACTCCAGTTTCAGTTTAAAATTATGTTTTAAGATCGACAAATAATTGGCGCGCAATTTGCTTTAATAGAAAATTATAAAAAACTTAAACAAATATATTATTAAACACCGCTTTGACCAAATACTGCCTTTATCACCTATTTGTGTTTTTTAATTTTATTACAATTTTTTACCCATTCTGAGAAGTATTTTTTTCTTCACGGCAGTAAAACAATTATTTATTGGTGTTGTGCGAAAAATATAATTGTGTGAAGATATCAAAGGACATAAGTAAATCTTAAGTGAATTTATTGTCTTCTTTTCTTGAATAATTCCAGGATGCAGGAGCAAGATTCCAGGTGCACAGGATAGAATGAATCGTCGGGAGGACCCGCTGTTACGGCAGCATCGCAGCCGTTTGCTGCAATTGGCCGAGGCGACAAACATCAAGCCTGGCCGTGGCAGCGGGAAGAGACGCGGACAAAGACAGTCGCATGGTTTCGGGCCCAGGTTAGTTAAAAAATTTACAAATTTATGTCAAGAATTTATCTTAATAACTAAAGGTTAAAATCCATTTATGAAATAATTTATACCTTAAGGCATTTACTTGAACTTTCTCGGAATGAATTTTTAGACATCTTTCGATTCATCTATAGTCATCTGTAGTCATAATATAAGGTAATTGATTAATAAACGAGTAAGATGGATGTTAATTTCTTTAAATAATAATAATTATATTTTAATTCAATATAAATATATTTTTTAATTGGCGATCATATTTATTAATTGATAAATATAATTATGATATATATTATTAGACTGTGGATATTTATGCAAAATATTTAACTGAATATTTTACTGAATATAAAATGCATATTTTGCATAAATTGTATATTTACAGATGGCAATCTCAACCTTTTTACTTTACTTTTTAATAACTCTTTAACGAACAACGATCGACTGCTCTGATGGTTAATATTCAGTTAAGTATTTTGCATAAATATCCGCAGTCTAATAATTATATATTGAAAAAATACTAAATTTCAATAAATAACTAAATATTTACTAAATATGAACATACACTTATTTAATATAAAAATGACTAATTTGATTATTCTTTTATTAAGTAAGTATTTACCGTAAATAAATATTTACTTAATACTATGCATATTCAAAGAAATATGTATTAAAATTTAATAATTTCTTTTCTAATGTAATTATTTAAAAAACTAACGCCTTGCTAGTTTATTAGCCTATTAACTTATCACATTATTATTATTATTATTAATACGAATCTACTAAAATTCATATACAGTTCATTTTATCATCATTGACAACAGTTAACGAAAATTGGCATTGCGCATGAATTGTTGCAGTAATGGCGGACCCAGCCGCGTGACGCTCCAGGACATTGTCAGAAACGATCCTGGATACACGCCGAACATCGAGCACTTAGTGTTTCCGGAGCGCAAGAGCAGCAATCCGAATTTGGCGGGTGTTGTCGATGGCTCGCCGCCAAATAAATCCAAGTCAAATGCGAGCTCAGGAAGATCCAGACTCGCCGAGGTCTTCGCTCGGCATTACGCAAGAGGATCCTCGCAAGACTCGTCCGTTACGTCCAGAAAAAATCATGTAAATGTACGTCTTGAGATATAATCGAACGAATTTAAATAATCTGTTTTATTAATCTAACACATTGGTGCTCTTTGTCGTTATTTAAATTACGGTCCATTTGATATTACAAATTTAAAGCTTCTTTAAACTAGTATTAGGTGTTGGAATTAATTCGTAGCGTTTTTAATGAAAGAATGTTATTTATTTCACATGAGCATTAAAAAATACATTAATGAAAGTACTTCCCATCACTTGTAAAACGCTACGAATTAATTCCAACACCTAATATAAATTAGTACAATTCTTTCTGTTGAGTCAATCAAATGATTCAAAGCACTTTATTGTAACGCCAAGTGGACCGCATTCTCAATCACATTGTGATGGAACATAATTAAAAATTTTGAATTATTAATCTTTACACAGAGAAAAGTAAAATTAACTAAAATTCTGATAGATTTATTTTTCTGGTCAGAAATCTTAACCAAAATTCTGGATCGTTTATTTTCCAAGATTCTAATTAATTCAACCAAATATTTTTCTCCGTGTATATTTTATAAAATCATTTGTCTGGAATGTGTTCCTGAACGTATTTCGATTACGATATTGTATAAATAAATTGATATAGACGGATGTTCCAAAAGCAAATCAGGTGATGCATCAATGAGATATTGAGTCGTGTAGAGTAATAAAAGTCAATAAAATGACACGCACGTTCGAAGTTCGAGTTATCGCGACAGATCGGTCGTACGGACAAGTTCTCCTCTCAGGCAGGACGTACGAGAATAAAAATACTTTCTTCGACACGCGACGGAGTTGCGCCAACCCACCGGTTGTACGTGCTTCGACCGTATTTGGAAGTAGAGACAGCCGCACGGCTCTTCGTGCTCTTATGGCTACGCAAGTTTAGTCCGTGATCGACGTAACGATAATGGCGCCCTGTAGCACAAGCCTCTTTGGCAATTGACACAATTTCATAACGATCATAACGATAATGATATCCGTTAACGAGTTCTAGTTAATAAGAGAAAACCAAAAATGGTCGAAAAAAAAGGAAACTAATGTTTAATGACGTAATACGTGTGTTTCAAAAATGTTCTTATTTATACCCATTTCTCTACCAATGTAGATTAATTTTAATTTTGATTTAACTCATTCTTCATCCTTTTCTAATTCTCAGAACTAGAAAATGATGAAGAGTTAATTGAACCAAGATTAAAATTGAACTACATTAGTATAGAAACGAGCATTAGATATTTTTTTATAGAACATGTTTTAAAAAATCAGAAACGTTAATTATTATTTAACAGTGATTTTTATGTATCTGAAATTTTACCACAATAATTAATTCTAGGACTATAGGACTATATACTAGATCTCTTGGATTCAAGTAACTATTTGTTAACTAAATGTAATTAATTTTTAAATGTGTTAATTATTTTCTAAATGCACGTTAAAAATAAATTTTTATAAGAGAATGTCAGACACAGTAAAATATAAAAAATTCAAGTCTTTTTAATGGATTTAACATGGACATTTCTACTAATTTAGATTAACTTTAATCTCGATTTAACTTAGTTTCTAACTTTTTTTAATTCTTAGTTCTAGGAAAAAATAAGAAGTAAGTTAAACCCAGATTAAAGTTAATTTACATTAATAGTCAGAAGACACAGTAGTGTTTCGCGTAGAATTAGCATAAATTAAAATAAATGTTTAAACGAGGAAAAATTCAAGCACTCAATTGGAATTTTCGCTCGGTCTCTCAGATCGGTGCGTGTAGTCTTCAGATTTTCAATCGCGTCCCACGGATTTTCTCTCTGCCCACGAAGAACGGCCTTGGATTTCGGTTACAGAGCACGTCATTGGATAGTGGGAGCACGATAGGTCATCAGCCGGGGCCCGGCGGGTCCACGGTGGTGACGCGGAATGCTGGGCGCCGCTGGCTCTCGCAGAACTCGCAATCCTCGAGACAGCACTCGACCGAGGATGGGGTACGTGGGGGTAATGTGGGCGTCGGAGGGCCCGTTTCGACCTTGTCCTCGAGCCAAACCTCCGGTCAGGCTGCGCCTCCCGCCCTGCCGCCGCGCAGAATCAGTCCGGCCGCGGATACAAGCGAGATCACTAACGCGGGTCCTATCCCGCGTGTCGACAGGTAACGTTACGCGTTTTATCTCTTTTCTATTTAAATTTGTCGCTCTGGAGAATGGTCCCAGTGCGTTCCTAATTGTTCCGTGAACTCCCACAACCAGTAGTACTGCACAGGGCAAGTAATCTTAGCTTGGTAATCTCTGAAATATTAAAAATAATCAATCGAAAAGTTTAGAAACGTTGATTACGTGAATTTAGGAAGATTTTGTGGATGCACAGTTACTATTGTGCACAGTGAAATCGTATATGTGTGATAAAATAGTGCGACTGTGTCTATTTGAGTTATTGAAGAAGACATCCAGCATGGAATCTTATGAAGTTAGCGTGACTGTCGCATAGGAACGACGAAAACAGTCGCTGAATCCTGTTCATCCCGCTGTTATCCTGTTCATGCTTGTCCTTTCCGTCTAGATTCCCTCTAGATGCTAGTGTTTACATACGATGTAAGTTTCATGATGCCCAACGAACTGCTGCGAGGACCACTCTCGCGTTACTTCTTCGTGCACTCGGATACTCATCGTCGAGCGTGACCTGCTTACACGAGGGAAAGAATGTTAAATTTATCGTCGTATTTAATGCCGAATCTAGAATGATGTCCGTTCTCAAGGCCGATTGACTGATTAATCTGTAAAGACAAGATTGGAGTTTTTTCAAGAACATCCCGCATGATAAACATGTTAAAAATACCAAATATTACCATCTCGTGCGGTATAAAAAAAGATTTGTCTCTTTTATACGAGACATTTTTATTGACATTCGAAAATAAACCGAGCAAGAGTAATTGCTGTTCTCGTACCAGTCAATTTTGACAGGTAAAAAGTATGATGGATAAACGTATAGATGAGAAATGTTTTGCAATGTTCAATACAACGATTATACTGACACAAGCATACGTGACAGTGAATAAAAGAAAGGGTGGTCACTCCATCTTGCCAGTTTCTTATTCAGACTGAAAGATCGGTCTATTTAAAGTGCGGTTCTATTTAAGACATCACACTACTATCAAAGGAAGCGAACGACTCTACGTGTCATGTCGGTTAAAAGGTAAATATGATTAATTGAGAGCACGGATATTCCTGTCCCAATCGATTTGTTCGGCGCGTTTCGTCAGCTCCATATGTGGAGCGATATCGACGAAAGGTTATTCGCAGCAAGTATCTGAAATACGCTTCGTCACCTAGTTTCATTGTACGTTTTCCTCTGTCTTTAGCCCAAATTAATTAATAGTTTCACAAATCACATCGAATGTCGAGTTGTTCATACAAATTCAGCGAATTCTGCATTTTCCATCGATAATCCTTTTTAACGCTTCGTTAAAATAAGTCCAAGAAAATTAATTTTAATTAGAAGCTCAGGTCCTTTCATACGATTAATTTCGCATTTTAATGTTTAACATTTTAACATTTCTCATTTACCCGGTAGATCAAATTTCGTCTAATACAGCATCATCAAGACTTTGAGGCGTAACTTGAGAGCGCCCCGGAAAATTTCATTTTCACAAGCGTCTTTTTCATCTCCAACGATCTCTTTGATCGCGCGTTAATCACAACAGGCGCCAAAGATGATTGAATCCCTAGTGGAGAAACTTTGAATTTTGTCCAGACCGTGGTGGTGAAAATATCAATCATTATACTTACTTTCAATTCATATCATTTCATCCGTTTCGCAAAGAAAATATGGCGATGTCCTCGCATACATTTTTCTTATTAATATAATTAGTATGGAAAAATTCCATTTTATTATTACAAGATATAACATTTTCACAGTAGTCTGTAAAAATTTCTTCCATGCGATGAAAGGTCCAGAAAATGAAGATCCTGATACGAAGATAAGAGACATAGTCAAGGGTACATATGTCCGCGAAGAGATTTGCGTACTACTCTCGAGAAAAACTATTCGGATATCTGATTGTCACAATGATATTCAAAGAAGTTTTTAACATACTAGTACATATGATGTAATCTTTGCTTCCTCTCTCTCTCTCTCTCTCTCTCTCTCTCTCTCTCTCGCTCTCTCTCTCTCTCTCTCTCTCTCTCTCTCTCTTATTTTTATTACTTTTGTATTTGTATTAATGATATTTTTTAAATCATTATTTCGCTTATTCTTTGCACAATATCACTATATAAATATTCGTCGTTGTAACATCAGACATGTACGTGAGAAGGAGTATGCATGGGAAGGTATACAATCGAAAACGATCGCATCTATCTTACTTGAAGACATCGACGGATACGGAAGGTTTCCGATCGTGCCAACTGTCGCGTAAAATCCCCGGAGACGTTAAAATGCACCACGAGTTGATTTCCTTTTACGTCGAGATGAAGCAAAATTCTGAGTTCGATAGCAAATAAAAAAAGTATGAATAAATAGGCGCAACCATGCAAAAGAAAGCAATTTTATATATTTTTATCTTGTTTAATTTCATGGTAAAAAATGTGTTATATAAAAAATATAATTTCTTTCCTTTAAAATCGAATAAGATAAAAAAATTAAACAAATTCTATTCTTCAAATATTATTTTATTGTAAAACGTCACAACTCGAAAAGAGCGATTAGAAAAATATCATCAAAATTGTCATAACTAAAAAAGAATGATTTTTTAAAGGATTGTGAAATGAAAATGACAAAATGAACTCTTAGTACATACAATTAGATTATTCATATCCTATTTCTTTTCTTTGAAAAACTAGGATCAAATGATTAATTATAACATTTTTATATACAATTTGTTTAAATACACAATCTTAGAAATACTTTTTAAGATATTAAAGATGTAAGAATTACTTAATAATTTTTGTAGTAAATTTATTAAAATAATAAAAATTAACCTAAGACACAAACGATGTGTGTAATAAAAGAAAAATCATCGATATGTGTACTAAGAGTTAAGAATATATTATTTTTGCTGATATATTTGATTAGTCAATAATTTTCTATCGAATTGAAAAATATAATAGTTTTTATCTTTTCTGTAAAACTTAAGTATTTAAATTATGTCACTTTTGAAATAAGAGAGCGATGTATACGTAAATAAACTTTTTGTTCTTTTTTGCCAAATCTGAGAAGTGTAAAATTCCAATTTTATTCGTCAAACAGGAATCTATTATTAATCGACATTAATATAAACATCAAATAAAAAATAAATTTTTATTCGTAAAGTAAACATTTAAATGATATAGTTAAGAATAGTTATTCCTGGTACCTCAAGCCGATCTCGAAAGGAGAAAATTTTCGGTTGCAGGGGCCCTAATGTATCGATCCTCCATCTCCGTAACGCGTCAGCGGACCCTTGGGAGGTTGGCTCTCAAGGCTCCTCGTACAGCGTCAGCAGCAATAAGAGTCAGACAGCGAGCGGCAGAGGAAAATCCAGCGGGAACGCGCGTGGATCCTACAACCGCGGTAGTTCGATACCATCCCTAAAACGTCACGATACATCCACGTCGACCACATCGACGTCGAGCCACAAGCATCGTCAAGACAGCCACGGCCAGGTAAGTGGGGATCGCAAAGACGTCAGAAACGTACTGTTAATCTCCGCTACTTCATCCTCGAGATGAATGATGTGTTCCGTTTTGCGCTTACAGCTTGTAAGCATCATTTGTCCTTGTTAAATATTTGATAAACAACAAGGCTTACAGTGTGTAAGCATGAAAACGGAACATATCCCGGAAGTAAGAATCGAATTCATGCGGAAGCTTGAGAAAACAATCCTGTGGATCGCCGTAGTAAATGTTAATTTAAGTTAAATGAGTTCTTTTCCTGATTGTTGCTTTAATAAGTGATCATTTAAATTATGTTTAGCGTTGATTAATATTTACGAACATGGCTTTATATGATTTATAATATAATCAACTTTTTCTCCATTATGGAGAAAAACTAATGAAACATAATGTGTATTTAATGGGCTGTACATTTCAATCTCTTAACTTAACCAAAATCACTCTTTTTTATTTGGAATTAAATTTGTCTCGCCATAATTGTCTAGCTTCATCATTAGTAGAATAGCGTTATTCAAACATAAATTAATATAATGAAATGACACTAGGAGATTGGGATGACACTTAGGGTGTCAATTAGCGAGGATTCTCCCCTGTGCAGGTCTCCGCCAGTTCCCGTCGACGCGATGCCGTAAACTCCTTCTTATCGGGTAACAGCGGCACTTCCGGTGAGCTGTTTATCAGCGGCAACTGCAGTCGCGAGCTCTCGCCTGTGCGATGGTGCGATCGCGAGGTTGATGGCGTTTACTTGGGTCGTTCCGGCTGGGTGCAGGTACAGCAGCGGTCTCTCGACGAAAATCGTCGTGCAAACTATGAGAGCAACTTGGTAACTGCGGCCACTGGTACTTTACCGTTGTCGCGACGGGCGGCGGTGAAATTAGCGGACTATCATTGCAACAGCGAGCCGGGCAAGTGTCCGCAGGACTTTACCAGAGGATTAGACTCACAGCGACCTGATTTCCTCGCGCTGCACAGCCAGGATTTCGACTCTATCACTACCAGTGCCTGCACGTCGCCGCACAGCATTCCGGAGTCCTTCTCTCCACCATCGATTACGCCGATTATATCGCCGCCACCGGCGTTCCAAGACGCCGTTGCCGGCAAAAAGTCCTCCTCCAGACATTCGTCTTCCTCTGCCGTGCGCAGCAATTATGGCAGCAAGGCCCCTTTTCTACCGCGATCGAATGCCATCGTCGATAGCGACATTATCAGTCCGCCACCATCGCCGCCACCTCATCAGGTCAACTGGAGCTCCCTTCCGTCCAGGAAGAATTCCGGTTTAGCGTCATCCAGGTCAAAGAGACAAAATGCCAATCAGCAGCAACAACAACAACAACAGCAACAATATCGTATGGCGCAAGCCAAGTCCCTGGAGGATCAATCATCCTCCAGAAGATCGCAATTCGCGCAGAGATATCTCGAATCGTCCAGCTCGTCATCATCGTCGATGGGATTCCGAAGCCTTGACAGTTGTGTCACAAAACCTATTATGCCTAGTTTGGCAGAGAATACAGATTCTTCAGTGGAAGGGTATGTAAAAAAAAACTTTGATTGCGATGAACGAAAACTGTCTCTGTCGGCAAATTTTTTTAATGTATTAGTTCAGTCTCGATTACAAATTCTTCTGGAAAAGTAGAATTGATAACGGCAGAATTAAATAAATCTAAACATTGATATTCTCCATTAATTAGCATAGTCTCTCTTTATAATTTATATTTCATATAATTTATAGATATATTATAATAATCACTATATCATAAAATGTTAACGTTAACAGTATTAACGGAAGCTTAGAAATATATTGAAAATATTGATCTTTCGATACTAGATATGAAGATGGTGACGAAGATGATAATCCTAGTTCATCCTTAAATCTCAGTTTGGTGTCGTCGTCAGCTCTTGCCTTGAATTCGTCCACAGAATCGATTCGCGCCAACGGCGAACGAATATCGCCCAACAGGCAAGGGTATGCATATGAAAACTTATGAAGTTCTCATATAAGAAATAAAAATTCAACAGAGAAAAAATTGTAAAGTATTTTATTTATATCCATTTCTACTAACACAGATTAATTTTAATCTCGGTTTAACTTACTTCTAATTTTTTTCTCTTCTAAAAATTATAATAGATTAAAGTAAAGAGTGAATTAAACAGAGATTAAAATTAATCTACATTGGTAAATGAACATTAAACAGTTTCTTAATTTGTATAATACAAACATTTTGGACATTTATTTTTGTATTTTTTAATCTTTTTAAATTAACATTCCATATATATGTATGTATTAACTCGGGAATAGTCACCTGAGATATTTTTATATCCCAGTGGCGAAAAGAAATATGAATAAGTGTAAAATTATTTTAAATGGGTATATAACTTTTATTTATTTATATTTATTTATTTATTTTTTAAATAACTATTCTCTCTTTACAAAGCTTTAAATATGTGAATTTTATCGAAATAAAAAAACGTTATGTTAATTAAAAAATTTTCATTTTTTAAAAATATATGTCATAATAAATTACTTGTGTTTAATATTTGTTTCCTTTCTATTTATGTTTTTTTTTTTTAGAAAATTGTTTATGGATATGAATTTAATCTACAAATACTATAACAAATTTAAAAATAATAAAATGTTGTTACTAATATTGATTTAAATGATATAAAAATATTCCAGGTGATGGTAAAAAAAATTAGGTAACTAGAATTACTCCTGAATTAAAAAAATAAATTAATTTAGTATTGCATTGCAAAGTGCTTGCACAGTGTTATGCGAAAATAAAACGCCTAAGTGTTACATCTAGGAGAATCCATAGAAGCCAACAGGGGCTCAGAAGATCGCCCGGATCCTCCGAATCAGGAAAACAGATGTTTAATTCACCTTCTTCATCGTCTTCCTCGTCCAGCAGCGAGGGACGACAAGGGCGGTCACCTACGCCTAATCCATTCAGACGCGGCAATCCCTCGCGACAGCACCAGAGCGCTAGGACCAATCAGGTATCGCCTGATTCTCATCAATCCCGAGTTAGAAGATCCAGGAGTCTCCAATTACCGGAGAAAAGGTCACCGGGAACGACGGGCCCGCAGAGAGAACACTCCCGAGAGTCAAACGAGGCACACAGAGTTGTTGTGAAAATTGTGAATGATCGAGGAAGTGACAGGTCCAAGCGCCATGTTCTTCAGAACAGTGAGTACTCTTCCTTGGATGTTTTACGCCTAAGATAATTTAATTCTAGTTACAAGCGTATATTTTATGATCCGAAGAATAAATGGTCTCAAATGTATCTTTTATAAATCTCATATTCTCGTGAAAAGAAGATAATGATCATATATGCAGACAATTTTTATATAATTATTATATTATAATAAATTATTCTTACTTCTGCAAAATTTATTTTAAATATTTACATTAAAAAATATTTGCATAAAATTTCTAGCTATTCACTTTTTCATACGTTTTATAGAAAAATCAATGTGTAATGGAAAGTTTCGTAAAACATGAAAAATGTAAAGAAAATAGAAAATCTTATGAAATATATAGAAAATTACATAGTAGATTAATTGTTCGAAATCGAATATTTCTTATATTAAATTTAGCGGACAAAAAACTGAAAAAAGAATTGTTTTTAAAGAAAATATACGATTGTCACGTCAAATCAACGATCAAAATTGATCAAAATCGAACTGATTCTCTTATCTGATTTTTCCCAAATTCTTTAGGAAAAGCTCAATCCACTGACGATACCATAAATGAGAATCTTTTCCGCGAAACGGAGATGGTGACTGAATATCTGTATGGCACGCGTAGCCGCGTCGTGCCTAGAAATATGATGTCAAGCCGCTATGAACGTCGCGACGAGAGCCAAGAGCAGAGACGAGGCAATAACACGTATGACGTTTACATCATATCCTCCAAGCAGCAACAGCAGCAATCTTCGAAAGTATCAAATTCTTCACAATCTCAACAACAGCAACAGCCACAGCAGTCGCAATCGCAACAACAGCAACAGCAACAGCAGCAACAGCAACAATCAAGGCGGCCACGGACGCTGCAGAGAGGTGCTACAACACCAAACGCGAACGCGCCATCCATCAATCAAGACTTCTGTATCAGCCCAGATACAAAACTGCGTTGTAACAGCAGCACGTGCGACTTTTGGCCTCATTGCTCACAAAGAGAAACCTTGTATTCACCAAATCAGGCGCCACCACCAGTTTTCATGAAGCTGTCGCAGAGTTATCCAGCACATCAGAGACTCTCCACCGATGCTGGTAGTCATCGCGGAAGTGCGAGCTCTTCCCCGGCCTCTCTCGAGCGAATGGACGATCGGGAGCTTCGTGACAGAGATAATTTAAGGAAGAGCAGAAACAGCCAGCAGGGCAAATATCAGGAGAGACCCAAAGCCGTGCTCAAGCAGGCCAATAGATGGTCGCCGTTGGAGGGATCTAACGGGAATGGTCCGTAATAGCTTAATTATCAAAAAATTTATCCTATTAAATTAAGATGTCACAAGTAGAAACAAATACTTATTTTAAATTAATAGACAGTATCTTACTTATTTTTATTTAGAAATGTTAGTTTTTATTTTAATCTTTAATATCCATACAGCACAGAAGCTTACAGCAACATTGTTGTAACGTTGTAATTTTGCTGAAACATCGTAACATTATTAGAACGATCTGTGCTATATGGGATAAGTCGAATAATTTAGATTCCATTTATATTAGAGTTTTTTGTAAATAAAGTAGGCTCTGGAACGGAGAAGAGGGATCAGATGCATCACCGAGTGTACCGGAAGCCTGATTTTCCGGGATCCTTCGAGAGCACCGACAGCAAGGATAGGAGAGTGTCGCCTGTTCAAGGAATGAACGTCGTCAATAGATCGCCAAGCGGCGGCCCGATTATCTCCTCGACCACCACCTCGTCGTCTTCGAGCAGTGATATTTGGATTACCACGTCGGATCGCACGGTGACGAAGAGTCCGCGGAATGCAAAGAGCTCCGGTGCGTCCACACCAATAGAGGATGCTGTAATCGGTTCGCTTAAGACGTTGATGGAACCACCGAAGGACGGTACACTATCCAGGCCTGGTAGTGCGCCAACTCGGGGTGAAGATTCGCTCAAGGGCGACACCGTCCTGGACCCTCATCAGCGATCCTTGTCGCTGCCCAAATCCTTCCTGGCACACAACACGGCGGAGGGGTAAGTACCAGTAATAGAATTTTTTTCCACGTTATTTCTGCAAGTACGTGATTCGTCCGCGCAAATAAATCTCGTAAAGCGAGATCTCTCGGGAAAGTCGCCCGTGGTGGCCTATACCTCCTGGTCCCATTCGAATAAAACGACGGATGCAATTTCGAGGTGGACGGCTTCGTGGATTCACGAATGGATTCGCCTTAAACGCAGTACGCGCCCGCGGTCGTTTAAATCCTGCGGTTAAGTTTACTGGGCCACCGTGCCGCGCCCGTTCGATTGCGCTGGTAATTGGCTCCCGATCGAAACCCCGTCGGGTATTCCATTATACGTGCTCTGCATACGCGAATCGCGTCGGGACAGCCTATCGGACTTGCTGTATCCTTGGGATTAGAATTAAGCCTCCAATACGAATATTACAGCCAGCGTGCCCTGCGCGCTTTAATTAGTGAATTTATCCTGAAATCGATATTAAACTTTGCATTTTACGTTACGACGTAATTAGACTTAAAAATGCTATTGCAAATTCGTTTTTAACGGAGCACGCATTCTTAACATATCGATTTTTTTTTTAGAAGCTCTATAAAAAATTTTCTCATAATTGTTATTTCCACAATAATCCGATAAAATACAGGAATATGATCGATGTAGACACCTATCGGATTTTATGTAGGTATGTTCATCTCTAATACGATTTTCCTAAAATCGGATTTTGAAATGGAAACAGAAATGGATACAGTTAAACGCGTATATGTATTCGTAGGCTAATATTTTTACAGCATTGAAATTCGATTGGCAAATATTTGCGTACAACACGAAGACATGTTCGAAATTTTTCTCGTTCATTTCAGTTTATTTACAAGCTTTCGAACATGAAGTTCAAAGATACAAATAAAAATGCAAATAAAACAAAATTAAAACTATTGAAATTAAAATAAAATGAATGTATTGGAAGATAGATTATTCAGAGAGAAATCTGCAGAACTTATGTCACAAAGCGTTACAGCTGACGCAATATATGATGTCAGGGTTGAGAACGTATCATACGTGTATCATACATAGGTATTCTACGTATGATAATGAAGTATGATTCTCTTTACTTTCATATGTATGTATATGAATTATCATATAACCTTATTTTTTAATCCGATGAGCTTATTTAGATGTTTTAGACAAACAAATTGGCAAAACAAATTTGTATTTTACTGTGATATCAACAATTTGAAATACAACAATATGTAATTATATTGAAAATTAATTAGAAAATTATGACATAACCAGATTATATATACTTTCAAATTAAATCCACGCGATAAGAGCAAAAATTACAACGAATTACTAATATTATTGTATATCAAATTTATGTATATACTGCACTTACATTTTCAATATTATTTCCTTTTCGTTTTTTATTTCCAAACTATATTTTTAATAAAACTGGAAAGCTTTTGGAGTTATTCCCAATCAGCAATATACTTCAAAACTTCAAAAACCTAAAAACATTATTTTTTAGTTAATAAGATTAATAAATTAGAAGTTACGATTACGTTAAAGGTATCAAGTTCGATACGTATTCTATTTATGATACGCATACGTATCATATATATCAAATTTCCAGAATGTGTATCAAACCTTGCCTGATGTTATATTTATTAAATGCTAAAAGACACTCTCATCTCTGTTGAGAGACGAAACCGCATTGCTGTGTATAAAAACACGCGCGCTTTGCACGTAAAACGGCACGTGTGAAGCTTTCAATTAAACCGTCGCAGGGAAGAGGCGTCACGACAGTCATTGGCGCGTCCTTTGTCCGGCGGGTAAATGTAATTTTAGCGACGCAACCTCGCGAGCATTTTCTTTCTCGACGCGAACTGTCCTTCGTTTGCTCCATCGCGAAATGACGAATGACGTGGAATCTGCGATGACATGTTAACAGTGTAATCACATGCAACAGACACATCGATATATCCCCGCGAGGAAAATGTACGCGTTAATTTCTCGTTAATTCTCGCGTTTCTGCTTCTCGCGTCATCCTGTCAGATCAACAATAAACTTGCTTACTCGCGCGAGAATACGGTAGATCCCAGTGCAGACTTGAAACTCGACTGCTATCGCCTACCAATTTGCAGTTTTACGCAAGAATGCAAATGCATACGAATCGGTGTGACCTAATTCCTGATTTAATTCCTCGGCCATCGCACGGCGATTAATGAACGTCACATAATAAATTTTGTTGTCATGAGAATTTTTCTTTGTTTCGAAGCACGCGTGCGAAGCGTGACACGATGTAATCGCGCATTTATCAAGACAATTGGACGCAAGTGTAAACTCGCCCACGCGCGACCCACGATACGATTTGTGCCTTCGTGTTGATGTAAAATAATGGAGCAGCCTCGGTGAAATGGCAGAAATGATTTCTGATTGACTGCTGTTATTTTTAATGCAAAATGCGAAAAGCGTTCTTCATTGGAAACACGCCACAGAGAAATAAGAGCTGCTTTCTGAACTAGTGTACACTTTTGAAACTTAAAGTGAGATAGATAGATATATATTTGATATTTGTTTAAAGCGAGAAAGAGAGTTCTAGAACAGTTTAGTGCAGGAACAGAAAATAGATCAAAGAATAAGATACCTAAGCCGAATAAAACCTAAATATATGACACTTTTAAATTACTTAAAAACACGCTTTACGCTTAGAATATATGCTTGAAAGATGCCATAGGAAGTATTTAGATAAAAAAATAGCTAAAAAAATTAAAATCGACAACAACATGTTTGTTTACTGCAACAAAAACTTGTGACGAAGTATGTGTATGAACTATTTTTATAATAGTTTACTGCAAAGTTTGTCAAATACACATTATTTTATTATAATATATAATATTCAATATATTTTATATTATTCAATTTCCTAGCTATCGAAAAATAACAAATAAATATATTTTTTTGAGATAATATTTTTTTTTAAATAATGTACTCTCATCAAATGAGGCCCATTTAAGTGATTATTACTATGGTCATTGTTATTTATTTTTGTATGAGACTTTCATCAAGGATAACGATTTTCAATACTGCCAATTTTTAAGAAAATAAAATTGTATCCAATTAGAAATTTTCAAAGATTAAAAAATTATTTACAGATTAAATTATAGATAATTGTGACGTTTAAGAGTAAAGTAAGTCCTAAGGGGAATTTTTTTATGATTAATAATTTTAAAACTGATTTAGAAAGATAATGTTTAGTTTCTTTGTTATTTTTAATTTATTTTTTATTTAAGACTTATAAATTATATTCATATGCATATAACATGGCTCAATATCAGAGTTAAAAAATTTTTTTGTTTATCTACAAATATTCTATATAGAAGATATATTTTATTTTTGTGAATGAGAGAAATAAAGATTTTATTTTTTTACTTAAGTTATTATAATATACCTATATAAATAGAATTAAAAAAAAAGAAAATAAATTAGGTGGATCTTATTCAGGCATTTTACAAGTTCAACACACCGCGATTCTATCTCTTCTTTTCCTCAAAATTTATGATATTGAAATATTGGTACTAACTTGAAATTCTTATATTTAATTCCGATATGAGACAAAGCGTTACGTCGATCGTCTCGTTGCTAACTGATCTCTCACTAAATCTTGTCCAGTTGGTCGTTTCGTGCGCGTTTCAGACTTCTAAGCTTGATGTTATGTGCACAGAGTTTCCAACGTTTCTGAACTCGACATTTAATCCGGTAAACGCGAAGTTCCATGAACTCTCTTCCTTCTTTCTAACATTCGTGAAACGCAAAACTTTTGATCCGCCGACCTCTTTGCGTGAGTTTCCACTGTATGGAATAACGCCAGAAACTGCGCGTTCTCGAGTTTATCGGAACGTAAGTCACGTTGCAAGACATTAGATATCCGTAAAAAATCGTAAGATATAAGAGACGGAGATTGCAAATTTTTCAAGATTATTATAAAATGGTTGATGATCAATTCAGCTATTTAAAAAAGATGAGAGATTTTTTTTTATTATAAGCCGTTTTTTACAAATATTTTATATTTTTACTTTATTTACACGTATATTTAATATTATTTATAAATACATATATACATATACATATATTTAAAATTATTTACAAACAATATTAAATTAACTAACATTTAAATTAATAATAAAAGAGAAGATATTATATGGCTTTTGTAAGTAAAATATAATGAGCTCTCTTAATATCTCCGTTAATAGATAGTAAATTATATTGATTATTTATAGAATCATTTATTTAGTAAATCCACCGTTATATCACGATTCTGCCCCATTCACAATAGCCAACATTTATTATGATGTATTTTTACTTATCAAGTTTCGAAACATCTTCAACTTCCGGTACATTTTAGTATTTAATTATATATTTCCTCATTGTTTATAAACTTGAACGTATTATTACGTTCAAATATATGTGTGCTTGAGTCGAGTATATATATGCGAATATATATATATTATACGAATATACAATATATATGCTTGAGTTTGTTGTTCGTTATTTAATATTTAATTTAGTTGTACAATGTTTCGAGTTAAACAAGTTAATTTTTAAAGGGCAAAGAGAGGATTTCAAAGGCCCAGAAAGTATCATTTGTGCGACTTTGTTTTGATTTTTTTTTTAACTTTTTTTTGTGACAAACTTTTCCATGCATAAGTTTTACTATCGTTTTTCAATTGCATTTTATTTCAAAATTTGTCTGAAGAATAATATGGACCTTTGAGGCCTAAACTGTTCTGTTAGCTAATACTTTTGCTCGATTAAGGATTAAGGGGCTTATTTTGTAACTCTTAACGATTGTCGTAGTAGTATTAGTGTTATTTTTTTTATTATGTATAAAACCTGCGCAATCGTAATACTACAGTTACAGTTAAAAGTCGTTAAAAGTTACAGAATAGATCCCTAAACAATAGCACATTTTATTAATGTAGTACCCTAAGAGTGCTGATTAACAACCTCCATTTTTCGAAGTT